CCAGAATTCCCCAGCCAGCCATGCTGGCTGGGGAATTCTGGGAGTTGAAGTCCTCCCATCTTCAAGTTGCCAAGGTTGAGAAACACTGCTCTAGACTAAAAAGGCAGCTTACATGTCAAACATGTGAATTTAACTTTTTACAAGATGGTTTTGCTCCACAATCCTTTTCTGCCCACCCCAAAACTCTATCTATTTCCTCCTCTGTACCCATTTCCATCTTAGATTTACCAAGCTATGGATGGTATCGTGGCTGAGCACCCCCAGATTGTGAGCAAACTCCAAATTGGGGAGACGTATGAAAAGCGACCTCTCTTTGTCCTCAAGGTAACATTTGGGTCTGTGTATTAAAATCCTGTGCCAACAATTATTCCAAAATCTGGAGTGAATTCTTGTCTGTCTTCCAGTATTTTGACAAAATGAAGTTTTCTGTATTAAATTTAAGGGCCTTTCCCAGTATCGAGGTATCCCCCTTCCCCTTCCCTTCTTCCTTCCTTCCTTTGCAACCTGTCCCAATAATTGATTTTTTAAAAATCCATTGCTTTAGATTTTTCTGATATTTTATTTGATGGTGTCACATAGCAATCATTCTGTATTGCTGTTTTGCTGTGCCAATTTGCTGGGGAAAAAAAGGACTATTTGTAAAGTCCACATTCTGTCTGACAGTTCAGCACTGGGGGAGAGAGGCGCCGGGCCATCTGGATCGATGCTGGGATCCACGCTCGAGAATGGGTGACACAGGCCACTGCTCTCTGGACTGCAAAGAAGGTCAGCTGCTATGAAAGTGTCCAAATGGCTGTGGTGGGAATGTTTGCATCTGGCTCCGCCCACTTTAGGGGTTGGCCCTGCCCACTTGGGCAAGGCAGTTGAAGGCTTGTGCAGCCCCTGGCCACATGATATGTTGGGGTGCAAAGAGGTGCTCATCAGCTTCCTTCTTGAGGTTCCCAGAGCTCCAAGTTGGCATAACTTCATATACACCCATCACATTATTTCTCGAGTAAAGTGCAGAAACGGACAGAACAGAGCTCTCTTTTGTGCACAAGGAAGAGGGAGGATTTCAGGGTGCAAAACAGGGGCCTTAACCATGCAGAGACATAAAATGGAGTCATGGGGGGTCTGGCCCCACTTCCTTTTGGAATAGAGCTCTCCACCCTCCAAAGCTGGATGTGGACCCAAGTGGACATAAGCAGAGAAACCTGGGTGAAAATTTGGCATGAACCCACAAGGGGCTTCTGATAAGTGTTGACAGCTGCAAAAGCATTCTTGTGGGAGAGATGGGGGACCTTTGCCCAGAAGAAAGTTCAGGCCTGGAGTTCCACCCCACTACTCATCTGTCTTTTGGCTTCCTCAGATTGCCTCTGACTTTGGGAACGAGCCATCGCTAACCTCCCTCTTAAACACAATGGATATTTTTCTGCTGGTAGTTGCAAATCCTGACGGATACGTCTATTCTCACACCAAGGTGAGTATCTGACCCCAAATTGCAGCAGGCTGTCTCTTCTTTCATTCTAGAGCAGGGTTTCTCAACCGCGGCCACTTGAAGATGGGTGGACTTCAATTCCCAGAATTCCCCAGCCAGTGTGGCTGGTTTGGGGATTTTTGGGGGTGGTGTTCCCCCCACCTCAAATGGCCGCATGTTGAAGAAAACAATATTTAT